TTTCGTAAAGAGCGCGAACGGTAGCGTGAATGATTGCTTGACTGAGAAAATAAGCGAACAAACAAACAGTCTCAGAGTTTTAGTAGTATATAGATAGATTCGTCAATATCTTGTTTTTTGTCATCTTACGCCTTTTAGTGAAGATGGGAACATTGACAGGGAAATAATATAATAGCCAATGCTCGGCGAGAGGTTTTCGTTTATAAAATTTTGTTGTTGTTCTCGACTTTATTTTATTACCTCGTCTCCATAGTTACTATTTGGAAATAGTCAATAATATTATAGGTCCATTTTATTGTTGTTCTTTCTAAGCTCCGTTATAACACATTTTTATCTCATCATTTAATTTCTGTTGTGCATATATTGTTGTATAGAAGATATTTTAAAGTGATTCATCAGGGGGAAAACGAAGATTTATAATAATGGAATGTAATAAAAGTGACCCGAAAAACGGCGCTCCCGTGGCCCGATTTTAACAAAACTTGTTTTATTCTGTTTATATTCTCATTTCATTACAAATATGGCGCTATTGTGCGCCGTTTTTGCTGTATTTAATTACAGACAAGTACACAAACAAACACACAATTTCAGAGTTTTAGTAGGATATAGATAGATGACTACTCCTTACCTGAGTATTGGTTCTACGTATCCTACAATACTCTTAAGCCAATTGCACTTCTATCAAGTTATCATGTCGAGCTTTTGAGTATGGGGGTGAGGGGGGTTTAAGGAGTTACTTTCAAGAAACCTACTATGGGGTTACACTTTTTTTTTAATTTACTATTTTTCTGTTAGCAAATAGATTCTGATAAAGAGAGAGAAGGTTTAGTCCTTAGGCCAAACTGATTAATTTGAAACACTCTTCTAAAGTTATGACTCTTTAGACAAGGTGAAAAAGAAAGTATTGTAAAGTTCAACTCCCTCTAGTGATCAAAGTTATGACTGTCTAGAAAAAAAATTATACAGTTGAACGAGAAAGTTTAAAAAAAGTTCAATTACCTAAACTGTAAGAAAACGTTCAGTAGCTATTTGTTAATTATTTAATCTAGGTTTCATTTGAAGGATTAGAAGCATCTCCTTTACGCATAGCCGAAAACGATACTATTCTACGGGTGAAGGTGAAATCTAGATTAAACAAACAGCTACTGAAGTTTTCTCACAGTTTAGGTAATTGAATGAAAACAAAATAATCTTGTAAAGATCCACTTCATTTGGTGACCGACTGCACGGCAATAACACATTAGACAGTAAAATAACATCATAACAGTTGAAACAGAAATACGTCTGCTGTACTGGCAGATCTCGTATTCCTCCGACCAAGGAATCACGAACTTACCCCACAGCAAGGATTGCGTAATGCACGAAGTAACCATAACAACAGTTGTAATGACAACAATCCTTTTGTGTGTGTGTGTTTGTGGATTTATTAAACCTATTCTACCTTTAACTTTTCATAGGATCCAGAGCATGATAATAATAATAAAATACTGATCCCTAAACAGCCCATTTCCACAACAGTAACTTATTAGTAATATTTTAAACAATACTATCAGAGTTATAGGTCTTCTTGTAAATTTCGTGACTTTTAAAATTCGAGTAAACTAAACTGTCAGTGACGTTTGGAAAGAAAAAACGGAATTCTGGGATTAAACTAGAACATACACTTGTTTTTTCTTTTCAGAATGGACCATAAAAGGTTGTTATTAGCCCTAGCAGTCTGTCTGATGGTGGTGAGTTCAAGTGAGGCCTTTATCCTTCCTCTACCTATTCCAATACCGATCATCAAGGAAATTCTTTTCCACGTGGACCATAGACCACCGTAAGCCTAAACATTTATCGTGTTTCGTTTCTTTAAAACCACATAGGCTTAAATATAACCTTAATTTACAAACACTAGCTAAATTAACACAGGTTTTCCTAAAATCTAGTACTAAAAAGAAGATATATTCTTAAAAACTTTGATTGATTCAAACAAGTTCCCCTAAAATCTAGTACTAAAGATAAGATATATCCTAAAGACTGTGATTGATTCAAACAAGTTCCCCTAAAATCTAGTACTAAAGATAAGATATATCCTAAAGACTGTGATTGATTCTAAAGGGTTTCCTTAAAATCTAGTACTAAAGATAAGATATATCCTTAAAAACTTTGATTGATTCAAACAAGTTCCCCTAAAATCTAGTACTAAAGATAAGATATCCTTAAGATAACACTTTCAC